TGAACGTAAGAGATCGTTAACTGTTGGCATGTGAAGGTCTCTATGTAATGTTGCTTAGTATAAGTTCCACTAGAAAACTGTAAATGAGACGTTTATTTTCAAAGTGAAAACTAATCATCATTTTGACAATTTTTCAGAAACGCGAAAAACTAAAGTTTCTATTTCAATTGTGATATCAAAACCAATATTTAAAAAAACATAAATTGAGAAATTCTTTGTCTGTATATCATATTTCTATAAATCACTGATTATTTTAATAGTAAATATAAAACATCGAAACTTAATTATGGCCGCTTTAGGAATAATTTTAAACTTCAAGGTCCGTTATAGAGCAAAAAAAAGCTTGATTAGTGTTCGGATTGGACAGACAATGTATCTTTTTTTTACTCCATTTCTTCACACACACCTGGCAGAAGAACTGACAATCGAGTCTGATGTCGGGAATAATGCTGGTAATTGCTTGATCGGCGTGAAGGAGAGGAGTAACCAGCGGCATACCTTCCTGTCTTGATTTTAAGGTATTTCTAAGAGAGGAAATCCCTCAGCTCCTTTCGAGCCTTCTAAATGTGTTTGGAGGCATGTTAAATGCAGCCATACTTTGTATAAGAGTGTTACTATGTACATGTAAGTTATCGTGAAATCTTTTGTAATGGTTGTTAACTGTTAGCATTTGAAGGTCTTTATGTAAAGTAATGTTTGCGACGTACCATGGATATTTAGTTATAATCCTGAAGGTTTTTGATTGAAAAGTTTGTAATCTTCGTATGTGAGTTGTTTGGGCAGTCATAGATTTGTGAAACATAGGTCCATACGGGCTTAAGTAGATAAATGGAAGTGTCCAGTTTCTGTTTTAGGTTTAATTTTGAGCGTCTTGAAAGAAGTGAGTGTAATAATCGTAGTCTGAGGTTTAACATATTTCTTTTTTTACTGATGTGTTGGCCCCATGTCATTCTTCTGTCGAACGTCAATCCAAGATATTGTGTTTTATCTTTTTTAGGAATTTCGGCATTGTCAAGGTAAATAAGAGGATATGTTTCATGTCGCAGAATGATGTGTTGTGATTTGTCTTGGTCGAGTCGAATTTTCCAAAATTTGTACCAATCGTTTAGTTTTGTTAGATGGCGTTGTAAAGTCTGTGAGGCGTGTGTGGGATTTTCATTCTTGTTGCTGTATCGTCTGCGTAAGTCGCTGTAACAGTAACGGCGCTGTTAGGAATGTCGTGTGCGTATATGATGTATAAAAGCGGAGCGAGTACTCACCCCTGAGGAACTCCTCCTGCTACTAAGGCTGGTCTTTTTAAGAAAGTTCTGAGCCTTGGCAGGCAGAAAAAAATCTGTATGGAGAGAAAATATAATGTGTGATTCTGAAGGAAAAATACATAAACATTCTACTCTGAAAAATTAACTTTTTGTATACAACCGTGGAACAACAAAATCAATTTATTTTTGATGAATTGTTTTATTAATATAATTGAGAAATGCATGTTTAATTGCTTTCCTTAAAAAAAATCCATTTAAAGGCAACTTTTTTTTTACATTTAGATTCGTTTTTGAAAAAAATAAATAATTGCACCATCGGATTCATTCGGAATCGGTAGGGTTCAATTTGGAAATAAATTACTCAAATAGATTATATAAATATGCTTGTGTTTAAGATGTTTCTTTTACTTTTTGAAGTTCATTTCAAGTTTCTATTTATTGTATAATAGTCTAGAACATATCTAGTAAACGTGTCTTTTTGGCTGTCCCGTATATCTGTGAAGCTTGAAGCAAATGGGCATAAGTAAGTGTTTTATCTGTCTTTTAATTTCGAACAATTGACAAAACTTAAAGTATAAAACTCTCATAGGAAATCGAAATACACTTCATTTATTAATCTCATCAAAAGCTTCCTCTAAAATATATTGCACCTTGTTGAATTTCTTGAACTTAGCAGCTAGCATGATGATACTGTTTCTCGCTTTAGGTTTCTTCACCCAAGATTTAATTATGTCTTGTTAACTATAGAATATAGAAACCTGATCCAGTATATATCATGAGTCATAGATGCAGCACTTGGTAAACGAGTGATTCTAACCAGCTGATAACAGTTCAACTTAAATATTTCTCAGTAGTGAATTTATTATATTAACTATTGTTTGCTGTGATGATATCAATTCCGAAAGGGTTTTAGATTATTATTCTTTTGATCAATGTATTAATTCATTGCCTCTGCAGCAATAAGAATAAATATTTTTATTTCTATAAATATAGCTTCTCCACTTTAACTGCGTCACAAAGAAGCTCACTTAAAAAACTAGTCGTAATATGCATAATACCATGCTTATTATTTATTCCATTAATTAAAACCTTCCTTACAGAAGCAATATATAACTTACAATAGAACAACAAATAGAATTAATTGTTGAATCAGACAATTCAAGCCTTGTTGTTAATAATATTGATGTGTACTAATTAAAAATTTACAAGAGATGAATGCCCTCAACTATAAACATTCCCTTCCATTCTTTTTGTAATTCCTATTTTTATTTTTAAAAAAGATAATTAAATTAGTGTCTAATCTACTCTCCAAGTCATTCCACACCTTACTAAAAACGTCTGCCAAGTACAGGTTCCTCACCATAATCACCGATATTTTCCATCAGTTAGAACTAAATTAATTCAGAAAGAAATATGAATGAAGTTAACAAAATACAGAAAATGGAGGTCTACACATAATTAAAACATATCGATGCTTACATCTTACCCTTTAACCATAACTACCTCAAAAAGATTTGTAATAAAGCCCTTTACTACTTTAAAGTTTGAAGAGGAAATCGAGACCACAAACAGTTGTTAGAACTTCAAAAGGAACAGACAAAATTTACTAATATACGGCACATATACTAAAGGAAAAAGGCACGCCTAAGCGAAAGCACTGGGTGGGGGATTCGAAAAAATCTATACTGGATCATTTTTTCAAGCTTCACTATCAACAATCACTGAAAAATACATGAAATCCAAGTAACGGCAGTAGTCGTCATGCCAGTAATATGTGAAAGACAAAACATACAGTTTAAGTTAACTTTTTTAATACAGTCTAAAATTTTATGACCTTATAAAACGATTCTATGAAAATAAATTTTAGTATAGCCCTGTACATTTCCCTGTAACCTGATAACCGAAATTATAGATAATAAAATAATTACAAGTCCATGTCACGTTGCCTTAGAAAACTTCGTATAGCCTAAAAGGCGAGGAAGGAAAATAATATTTCAAAAAAAGTGATTTTAAAATATAAAATGCCTAATGATCATATCAAACCCATTGCTTTATGATTGGGTAAGAAAGACATTATTATTTTCTGGCCTTAGTGATCATAAAAATAAAACGGATAGTGATTTTTTTTTTAATATAAAATATTTGTGTTAATTTTTAAATAAATACATTATTTTTCAATCCATGTAGACAATAAATAAATAAAAATGTATTTATTAATATAGTATTTTTAAATTGAAAGGAGTGTGACAAGAACTTATTAATAAATTCAAGGGGAAACGAGCACTTATTTTTAGACTAAGGGGTAGCCGATCACTATAGGATAAGAATAACTGAGCGATATGACAGCAAAATGGACGAAGAAATCCATAGTAAAAATACATCCATAGTATTCATGGACTCATTGTAAATGCTTAATGTGCTATCATCCTAAGCAGTCACTACAAATTCTGAATGAATGGTAAATAACCTGTCTGTGCTAACCTGCTAAACTGTTATTAGTTACAGTAAGGTTAAACCTGTACAGTAAATAAAAGTTGCGAGTTCTTAATCGATTTACTAACGTTGATTTATTTTTAAAATGCCAAAGCTAATTGAAAAGAATGAATTGCTGGATAATTTGTTTAAAAATGCTTTATTAGACGGCATGAATGAAGATTCAGATGTCAAAGAACTTGATGAATACATAGATGAAATCCTAGATGTATTTACATTAAATTTCTGTCGATATTGTACAAATACAAAAAAATCAAACTCACCAAAACCTTACAATAATCTTCTCCGTGTTGCGTTTACGAAGTTGTATTTTATTTTTTTAACAATACGTATTCCCACACTCTTCACTGAAAACATCACAACCCTTGAAGAAGTATGATTGAAATAAATTCCAACAAATCCCATCAAACCAGCTATACTCTTCATCGAAAACCTATGACTTCCTACACTATAATATCCTTCAATAATACTCCGCTTATCCTTCTTGAACAGATCCACTGCTTAGGACTGCATCTCGCCAAACTTCTAACTTATTATCCTCATACAAGAATAAAACTACAAGAAACTGCTAGTTTCCGATTACTCCAGCACTTACTAGCCAAACGCTCTAAACTTCCCTTAAAATATAAATGACTTATTTACTTGACTATAATAAGGCCTATTTGAACTTACGGAGTTGAGCTTTGGGGCTCCACTAAGCCATCAAATTCGTCTCCAATCCAATCCTTACAACCAAAAATCCTTCATGCTACCTACTATGTCACAAATAAAATTATCCATCATGACCTTAATGCAATGTTCCATATTTTACAGACTTCCAGATACCTATCCTTCCATAATAAATCTAATGTCCATCCAAACCAATTTGTTTCTAACCTTGCATCTTCTACGGTTTTGACAATCCTCCGAGGCGTCTAAAAGAAGATGGCCTCGGGACCTTCTAACATATAATTATAATTGGAGTGCTGCCAATGGGTGATTTCTTTTCATGTTTTACATTTCATATTACCAAGGAAAATATACTATTTGTATATATATCTATTACAGTTGTAATTTTCAATAAATATATTAATAATAAAAATTAAAAAACATAACATATTTGAAGAATCTTAAGCATCTCTCTTCATTTCTATTGTTTCCAATGAATGTCCTATATATAGAGGACTATAGAAGTTACCTTGTTCCAGAAGCTGTTGCCCGAGACCGGTCTACCTGCGGACGGGGCAGAACGGCGGAGCTCCTCCAGAGATGGTCATGGACGTGGCCCAGGTGGACAGCACCAGGGAGCACCAGGCCAAGAAGAGGAAGGCCTCCTCCTACCAGTAAGTCTTCCTAGCCAGCCTTAGAACAAAGGGCCACCACCACCTCATAGGGTGGCCATCTTGAATTATATGTCTCTTAAGAATGGTTTAGATGTGACATCATGAAGTCTTCTATAAATAACTTTTATCAAGAACGCCTTTGGAATTTTTGTTTATTTGGCTCACTAAGAAAGTTTGATTTTAATAATTTAATAACCAGATTTTTAGATTATTAAATTCAAACTTTCTTGGGAAGCCGAATAAACAACAATTCCGAAAGCCGTTCTTGATAAAAGTTATTTACAGAAGACTTCTTCTGCTTTAAATGAATATTTGAGCCCATCTTTTTCTAGTGGTTACAGATTAATTGGGAACAAAAAATAAATCGTTTTCGAAATTAACGAAATGTTATAATATTTATACCTCTGTTATTTCAACAGTATCAACACTTTTGCAAAGTATACTTATAAATACGTACGTATTATTTAAAAATAATTAATGCAATATAGGGAAAATCTGCTATTAGCTCTATCTATGGCAGCATGGTGTTCCGTAACTGATGAAAAATATTCAAATAGCTAAAAGCAGACCTCAGGAACTACAAAAAGAAAAAAATAAACCATATAGGCATTGGTCCAATTTCATAAATACAAGAATACAGAAAATTTAAGTTGTTTGCCTTTTAAAGAGTCAGTTAAATAGAAAGCGATAAACAAAAACATAATTAATGGAGGTTAATTCCATTTGCCTCGTAGTAAACAAGTTAAGATTTGCTTCAAATGCAAGTGGAATTTTTTTTAATAGAAAATAACTTTATTCTGGGACAAAGTCCCTTTAGAACAACAAAATAGAACATAATTAAAATACTATATCTGGCCAAAATAAAACAATAATAAAAAAGAGAAATTAAAGAAAATATTAGATAAACAAGCTATATACAAAAATTAAACAAAATCTATATACAAAACACTTAAAACTATGATAAAACACTTTGAACTATGTACAGTAGGAAAAATTATAATTATACTCTTTTGAAAAATAAAATAATAAAAAATACATTGAGTTCTTCTTTAAAATGAGGTGTGCTTCAGCTAACAAAGCTGAGAATATAAAATGTCAGTGTATTTCAATAATACACTCATATGTAGACTCATCATTGTCAAATGATACAGGTACAGGTTATGTACTATAGGTACAGATTTAATTCTATACGAATACAAAACAATAAAGAAAACAAACAATAGATGCGGTCAGTGGCATTAAGAGCAGGAAGATATTGTAATATCCCTAGTGAAGTTCACAGTATAGAATAATACTATCGTTCGATGATGACTAGAAACGTATAATATCAAACGTTTAGCAAGTATCTGACTGTTTTTGGGATAGAAATTGGAATAGGAGGGATTTGAATGTGGATATAGAGGGGGAATGCCGAATTTTGATAGGTAGAGAATTCCAGAAATTGACAGCGCGAGATATAAAGGAATTTTGAAATGAGGCAGATCTGTGAGAAGGGATGTAGAGGTCAGAAAGTCGAGATCTTGTTGAAAGGGAATGGACTGAGGACTTGAATTGGAGAAGGTTGTAGGCCTAAGAAGGACGATGGTTGTTGATGATTTGAAAGAAGAACGTACCTAGGAAATATTGTCTTCTAAAGGAGGGGAAGAGCCACCTTAACTCAGTGTAGTGGTGAGAGACATGGGAGTACCTCGGGGCACCAATAACAAATCTTACGTAGCTATTCATTAATCTTTTCAGTCTATCACGGAGCTCCACCGAGAGGCCATCATACACCACACAGCTGTAGTCAAAGTGGGGGAAGATGAGAGAGGAAATTAGGCGTCTACGGGTATGTTGAGGTAGGAGATGGTGGAAGCGATGAAATAGTTTAAGTTTAGAAGTTGTCCGACGGGAAATGTGAGAAATATGGTAGTTCCAGGAGATGGTTTGATCTATGAAAAATCCTAAATTTTTAACAGAGGAGTAGAAGGAAATTGGCTGGTCATTAAGATGTAATATGGGAAAGTCAGTATGGGATCTAATAAGGGGCTTGGAACCAATGACAATGGCCTGAGTTTTGGCAGCATTTAACTTTAATCCATTTACATTTGCCCAGGCACTGATTCGATTAAGGTCTTCTTGAATCTTGGCAAATGCTACTAATAACTCAGAGGGAGAAAAAGATAGGTAGATCTGGGAATCATCTGCATAAAGGTGGTGGGAACAATGGAGAATTGAATTATGAAGGTCGTTAATGTAGGAGCTGAAAAGGAGAGGATATGCTTGAACCCTGGGCAACTCCAGAGGATAAAGGAAGGTAGGCCGATAGTGGTTGATTGGGTATGGAGACTGCTTGGGTGCGTTGGAAGAGGAATGATTGGAACCAAGAGATGGAGCTATTGGAGAAAGATAATGATTTTAGTTTGTTGAAGAGGATGGAATGATTGATGGAATCGAAGGCTTTGGAGAAGTCGAGAAGTATAAGGACCGTTAAAAAAATTAAAAGTTTGTAATTATTTTATTGAAAATACTGGTACTTTGGGAAAAATTGTTAATAATTTCACAATACTTTGTTTTTTTACTAAAACTATTCTGTGAAAATCCTCACTAAGTTTTCTCGTGCTGCTAGCATAGCTTTGCTGTATTCTACAATTGTATTAAAATAGTTCGAATGATTGAGAAAAATCTTCCTACTATTCGATAAAAATAATTTCTACTCTAAAGCGGATGTTTTTAAATCTATTGAGATTATTTGTTCGTGGAGCGATTTACATTCTAATTTACCAATTGTGTAGGATGGAGTTACCAGATATTTTTCCTTGGGTCGTCATGGTAATATCATGTCACAGTATTAAGAAAGTTGCTTAGGAAAATGAAAAACATAACACCTCAGTCAATAAAAGTGAAATATTATGTAACGTACAACTCGAATTTTATTAAAAATCATATCACTTTATCGAAAAAAACTAGAATTTTCGTTTACAATTAAATTGAATTCCCAATTCTTTTCTTTCCGTTATAAGCAACTTAATGTTTCCGCATTTATTGTCCTTTCCTTACACATACTTATGCGAAATCATATCGAATAAATAAACACACACTATCTTATCGTAAGCCTGTTATTAAATATTAAACCGGGACTAAGTGTAACGATACAAACCTGTCCAAAAGTAGATAAACAATCTTGCAATACCATGTTCCGATAAAGTAATCCGGTATTAATAAATTGTACGAAGTAGTCAATGGGATTACTGACGACTAATAAAAATTTCTGAAGGCCACCAAAAATAAATTTTAAAAAAATTTTATTTGAACATATGTATTGCTGACTGAATTATGTGGATTTATACAAAGAAATGTTTTTTTGTAATGTCTCTAAGTATATTCTTCCAAACACATTTCAATTTATAGATAACAACATATAAACCCATGCCGTATAATATAAAATGTATGCAATAGATTCCAGAGATGAGAGTTAGTCTGGAAGAATAATAATGGATGCCGGGAGTGTGCTTATAATGTAATCCGACAGATATTGAATAACCAACTCACAAGGTCACCACAATTATTCCTATTGCGAAACCTGTGAATCAGTTTTTTGTTGTTTTTTTTTTTCAATTATTTTCAGCAAGTAACATTTGCATTGCTAAATATAAGATTATGTTTGACCGTTCTGGTAGAATTTCCCCCTAACAAGAAAAAAGAGCTGACTAAAATATTATTTCCTTATCGAGAAAAAATTAAAAAATGTAGACTAAATCAAAATATTTACAGTTTTGTTGTACAATAGCAATATATATTTTTAAACATCTTTATGTGATTTGGAAAGATCAAAAATCAAACATAAAAAAAAAAAAAATGGAGTGTCCACTAACACGAGTTTCCTACCTATTTCAGAAAAGATTTCATATCTTTACATATGTTCATGAAGAAACAAAAAAAAAAATTTAAATAGAAAAGAAAAGATTTGAGTACGATTTATTTGATAAACTAAAGCAATATAAACCGGCTTAAGGTAGATCAGTGTAAAAATTTCAATACTCTATAATATTGTTGATCAAAAACCCTTGCCATAGCTTAGTATTGTCAAACAATAATTTCTGTTAAAAGTAGAGGATATAGTGAAGCTTGTGTGATGCAGGCAACAGATTTTCTTACTTTCACATAGTCACCTTTCTTCTCTCATTCACCCCTTTCTGACGCCAGGATATGAACCCATAATCTTGCATTGGAAATTTAATTACCTTTCAGAAGTTTTATTACAAATTTTACCGTATAATATATACTTACGGAGTTAGGCCCCATAACATTTTTCTTTTCTTTATAACTTTTTTTCTTGAATTTTCTCGGGAATTTAGTCCATATACGAAAATTGAAAGGATAATTATTAGAACATTATAGGAAAGTTTCATCAAAATCGTTGGAGCTGTTTTCGCGCTACAGTCAATAGAAAAACATTTTTTTCATTTATTACGCGTAAGCAATTGCGCATGGATCACCGAATTTCTGTCACAGGCATCAGTAATCAAAACCCTACAAAATAAAAAAAGATTCAACAAAATCAGTTCAGTAGTTCCCGAGATAATCTTGGCACAGACAGGGAGTTCTGAAAATTATAGATCCGTCGAAAACTGCATGTCGGAAATTTGACCCAATTGCAATACTTTCCTTACCTAGTATAGGTAGGAAAATTAAAAGGTGTGTGATCTAGACCACTCGGTAGAAGTGAAAAGATCAATCAACAAGACGAGATTAATAATATGAAAATAAATTATAAATAATAGCTCATAAAGAGGATGAAATGCTGAACATTTACCTCGCTTACAATGTGTAGGTCTGATTTATTTTAATCCATATCTTCAATAAAACTCGTTATCATTTGGTTTTAGGCCCTTTTCGCCTCTCTAACACGGCGTCGCGTTAAGATGCAACTTTGAACAATAGGCCGTTACAAAGAGGATGAAATGATGAACATTTCCTTCGCTAACAAAATGCAGGTCTGATTTTTAGTTTTTGAGATA